ATCAATAATATACAGGGTGTTCCATTCAAAATAAGGAAGATTCTGCATATTTTTATTTACAATATGTGGCAAGCGGTTTTTCATACCCTGTATATCACAGGTCGACTTCAGATAAATCGTTTGAGAGAGTTATTTCTGTAGAATATTCGATCAAAAAAAGAATACAATTGGACTTTGCACAACTTCATAATTTCAAATATTCTGAGTGACGAATATTGAAAAAAAAACTGTCATGCTAGATATCTCGAAAACCGTCAATATTTTCGAAGTGAAGATATACATAAAGTGTCTTTTATTTTTTATGTAGAAACCGAAAAAGCAATAAAAATATAGGTTGCTATTTAAAAAAACACAGTTGGGATCCGCCCAGAATAAATTGAACACCCTGTGTGACCGCCAATATTTTTATTTTGTCCCATCGATATCAAGTTCTGAAAAAAGGTTTCCTCTTATATTTTGTAACCTACAGCGTGTTTCTTTTTATGTATCAGAAATTCGGAATTTTTTTGACGAATCGTTTTTGACTAAGTACTCTGATTTAATGAAAGTTGTAAAAAATTATTGTTTACAGTTTTTTTTCTACCATATCTGAATATTATAAATGAATATTGGATTCGGAAGTGTCTTTAGATATCACCTTAAATTTTAGAGAACTTCAGTCCTCTTTCGAAAAGTGATTTCTGAAGTTAGAGAAATACAAATATATTATTCAATTTTCAAAATATATTTATATAAATGGAAATATGATTTGGAAGAATCATGATTCCCGTGTTCACTCAGTCTATAGACCAGGAATAATCTCTTATCCCCTTTTAACAAAATGTTTGTATCTATTCTTAACAACAAATCCAGTGTAAACAACGTCGATGCTTATCAGATGATAATGAAAAGCGGCATTTACTTTTTAGTTTTATTTGTTAAAATATTTCCCGACCTAGTACACTTTTGAACTTTATGTAAAAATATTTCTCCTGCTATTCAAATGTTTTTCAAACTAGCTTGTTTTTGAAATAAAAATGCGGGTACTTTTAATAGGGACACCTAATGCATCATAATCTACAGAATAACAATCGTGATACACAGAAATGTACTCCGTCATAACGCAATAGAAATCGCAATTGATCACATAGTATAAGATAGAAATGTACAGCGGCATAATGTACAGTTTCATAACGTAATCCATCATAATATATACTTCATCATAATGTACTTTTTCATAACGTACTCCGCCGTAACGCTAACGCATCATAATATCATTCAATCATAAACACAATACATCATAAAGGCATTCCATCATAACAGCAACGCATCATAGTATCAAACGATCATATTCGTAATTGGCAGAAACCGTAACGCATCATAACGTACTTCATCACAACGTAAAACATCATAACGTAAAGTATCATAACGTACCTTGTAATAATCCTATAGTTCATGCGCTTGCTTATACTATGTGGGAATAATGGTGGAAGTTTTTAACTCATTGAAGATCTAAGAAGAGCCCTATTATACTGAAGGAGTTTTAATATGATACGAATACTTGAATTTATTCATTCATTGTTCCTAATTTTTCATAATTCTGCATTATGCCTAATGTTGGGTGAAATTTTTGACAGTTGGTTGCCTTGAAGACCCATTTGCACCATAAAACTAATCGCGAACGAGTTGGCCATTAGCCATCAAAACATCAATTGAATCGACATAATTCTGGTTATCTTCGATGAAACTCTAAGTAAAATGCATTTGAAATAAATTCTACCTTACCTAGTATGGCAAATTTCCGCTAAGAATATGATGATTATTTTATTTAGAAAATATGTGTTCGGTCCATCGACTATGCTACCGGTATGCCATTGTGAGACATACTTGATGCGCGCGCAACCAAATTGTGATGGATTACGTTATGATACTTTACGTATTCTGTATATTACGGTTATGATGGAATACGGATTCTGTACAATACGGTTTCTACGCTTTAGCGAAATCATGCATTGACTTTATGATACAATGTGAATATGATGCGTTACGAATATGATCGGTTAACGTTTCTATAAGTACGTTATGAATTTATACTCTATGACAAAGTACGTTCTGCTGTTTTACGTTATGATGAATTGCGATTATGAAGGCTTACGTTTCTCTGCACTACGTATTCTATATATTACGATTATGACCTTGTAGAGTTACGATGCATTGCATTTTCTCTCCTTTGATGTTATGATGGAGTACATTATGATGAATTAGATGCATCCACTTTCAATCTATGTTTTTTTTTCCGGAAAATTAATTCTAAAACTGAATAATTTAGTTTGAAAATATATAAGTTTAGGCATAAAAGAATGTTTCACGAGCATATTCTTTCAACTTACATGCTATTTTCAACTTGGCCACATTTGATAGAATTGCTCCAGCTTTATTGCGAACCAAACAACGGTAGTCACCAAGAACGCCTCGTTTACCATTTGGAACTTTGGGAATGTACAGACTACCATCTTGCTGTTTCCTCCATTTGGTGGTATTCGAGGGAATCTTTTCATCATTATGATACCATGTGATCTAAAAAAAACATTCACGTTTGACTTGAAAGTTTGCAGATATTCTAGTTCATAAATTTCCAATTCAACCGCTATAATTGTAAAAGATTATGAATTATTCGAAACAGCTTTCAAACTGTATAGAAATACGATTTATTTTTTCAAACGTTACAGTAGGGCATTTTATTAGTTATTTCACTCATATATTTACAATAACCTTTCACGTAAAGAAACGGGCAAACAAGAAGAACATACTTTTACTAAAAAAAAAAATTAAAAATAGCTCTTCTAGAGAAATTACTTCCAGTTCAAGTCTGATATATCAAATTAACTCGACTTAACTGAATTAAAATGTTAATACCTATGTGATCAGATATATGGAAAGAAATATCTAGCATGAGTTACCGGTTTCAAAAACATATAATGATGCCCAAGGAAAGATAAGATATCACCAATAAGATTTAATGGTATGGGGGTGACAAGAAAAATAAGTTCTGAAAATGAGGAGGACTCTCATGGTGGAATACAGCAGCGGATTTACTTCCACCCTTGTTAATCTGATTCCTGGCGTCCAAAGTCTGTGGCTGATCATTTATTGAAAGTACCATCTCGTAAATTCATGCGCTTTTTCGAACATTTCTATGAGCCCTGTAAAATGATATCAGCATTTTTCCCAATATTTATGAATTTTATAAATTAACAGACACTGGCTGATTGATACATATTTTTACCTTTACCTTTCAATAGTCGCGTGAAGTGATGTATTCATTTTTATTGTTAACTAGCTGACTCTGCGGACTTCATTCCGCCTTAGAGGTAATACAAAAAGCACATTTTTTTATTTTATTAATTTAATTTTTTTGTTAATCAAGTATTTCAATTATTCCTCATTAGTTTACACTCTTCAGTTAAGCACCTTGTGATACACGACATTTTTTGTTTTATTATCAGGCGCAAATATAAACAGCGCAGATGGTCTTCCGACCTGTGAATATGCCACATATAATTGACTATGTGAAAAATATTGATTCTCCAGATTCAGACCACAAACTTTCAAGGATTGGCCTTGTGATTTGTTAATGGTCATGGCAAATGCAATACGAATTGGAAATTGAAGTCTTTCAAACTCAAACGGCATATCGGTTGGGATCATCGGGATCGTCGGAATGAGAACTTTCTCACCTTCGAATTTTCCTTTGAGTATCGTCGCGTAAATCAATTGTTCATCAATTTACTTACCACCAAACGTGTACCGTTGCAAAGTTTTGGTCGTTTCAAGAAGAAAGACTGGATCTATGATTACTAACGAACATTTTTAATATTCTGTTGTTGAATATTCAACCTCTGAATGGAAGAAAATGGAATTATGTACAGATGTCGATGAATTAGATTTAAATTTGATTTACTTAGAATCATGGTGTAACAAAAATTCGATTAATTATCTTCATTTCAATGTATTTTTTCGGGAGTAGCAGCTTTTGTAGAACACTGAATGAGGAAGGTGTTGCAAACTTTACGAGAAATATTCTTTGTGTAAAAAAAACTCTAAATGGATTAGTATTGTTCGGAAAAAGACTTTGAAGTATGTGGAATCTCATATATGCGAGGTGAATACACAATTATAATACTCGTACGTAGTTATAGATCCCCTTCAGGCAATACTGATATTTTTCTTGAGAGGATGCATGACCTACTTGCTGAATTTTCCGACCAAACACTAATTTGTTCATTTATGGTGATTTTAATATATACAGTTATAACAAAAGTAACTTCAGAAGTTTGAAGTTGTTATGTGACATTAAATACGCTCAGTAAAATCGATCGCATATTTAAAAATTTCACTGACGAAGAATCATATTGTGTTGTAGATAATACCATATCTGATCACAAATCAGTACTATTTGATTCTAGTTCAGAAAGTCAAACGTTCTTATATAACAGTGCAATCGAAAAATTTTTCACAGATATTGATCATGAAGAATGGAATGAACTGTATAATTTCACTGAAATATATGTTTTTGAAATATTTTTTTATTATTTCGCAATGCCACTGAAAATAGTTGGGTTTCTGATGGACTAAAGTACTCCAGTCAGTACCTGAGGGGATCTGGGATCTCAATAAATAACCTAAAAACAAAAACAGGTGAAACTATTAGAGAGTCAGAAAATACGAATCTAACACAGGATTCTTGGGAACATTCAGAACTGAGGACATCTACAAAGTATTGGCTGGTTACAAAGAAAGAGACAAAGTAGATTAAATGGGCCGTCGCCAGACGGGATGACGTTTAACCAATAATGCTACAAAAAGGACCGGAACCTCTACATCAAAAAATAGTATGTAGACCTTCAAAGCAAGTTTGACTTTGAAATACAAACCATGGAGACTGATTGGTGTCACCTTCATTCCTGATCAGGACTCAGCAAAAGCTTTTAGATTAATCAGTCTTATAACGGCATATAAGCGACATAGCATTGGCTAACAGATCACTCCACCTAGACCAATATGCATACAGGTAAAATATATTAGTGGAAATTGGTTATTAAAGAAAAGAAGGAACGACGATACAAAATATAGATGGATATTCTCCAGGAGGGTTTTTGTTCCCACCTTTATAAAACATTGTAATGGACGAGTTACAAAGCCTTCTAGACCATATGGGTATAAAGTACTGGGCTATGGAGACAATCTAGTTATTCTAGTCCAGGGCAAATACAATGGGACAGTGCCCTGATTATCACACGATGGTCCAAAGAAGAAGGATTAAATACAACCCCATCCAGTATTCACCAGGAATACACCGAAATGAAGAAATATGTCATTTGATGTTTTGGCTGGGAGTGATACTAGATCGCAAACTGACCTGGGAACATTGATGCTCGCTAAACGTACTCATGGAAAGACATGGGAACTGAAACCAGACATGATGTATTGATTATACTAAACAATGGTTGAGCCCATGATAACATATGCTTATTTGGTTAGGTGGCCAAATATGAAAAAAAAGCTACCGCTATTAACAAACCAGACATATCTGCTAGTTTGGTAATAAAGGGAGCAATATAAAGCTAAACAACAGCAGCATTGAGTACACTCATGAAACTACTTATTTAACATCACGTATACGGGAGGAGTGATCTGATTCAGACTGGAAAATTATCCGAGTGATCGGGATGTGGAGCAACGAACAATAAACCTACGGACCACATGAGACCGAAGTACACTTTCGACACAAACTTAATGGATAATGATACCGTGAAGAGTGGGCGAGGAACGGTTAACCCGTGAACGTGCTTACCAAAAACACACTGCACTCTTGCAGTGTGCAAATAATATAATTTGAGACATCAACAATATGAGCAGATCAAAACTTTTACAGACAGCCAGGTTATTCTTGAGGTATCGATGAACCCAAGTTATTCACGTCTACGAATGACTTTGAAAAGTGAATAAACTGATGGACCGGAATATATTGTCCATTATTACTTTCAGTATAACGTTTCGAAAAATACTTGATTTTTAGACCACCGCCTCGAGCCGAAATGAGTACTACTTTGTGTGTGATGTGTGGTTCAGAGTTAATAATAAAAAAGGTTCTATACTATAGAACATATTTGTTCTACATAGAACAGAATTGCTTCCAGTTAAAAATTCACAGACAGCATGAGGATACGCACGGCCCTTTCATAGTTAATCTGTTCATAAGCAGATTACATGTAATTTCGATTCTTGAAACAAGTAGAGGACATTGTTTTCATTCTCAACAGATCCCCGTATATTTTAGAATATTAATTTTATGGCTAGTCATGAAAATTTGTCTTTAAGTGACATAGCCGAAAGTAATTGGTATCCTTCAAATATAGTATATAAGTTAATCAGGAAATGTAATTTTAGGGAACATCTTCGTGAATCTTCGACTCTTCAAAAAAACCGATTCAAAGTTCAATGCTGTTTCTTTTGAACCAAAATAAACAGATTAGATTTATCTATTATAACATACTAGCTATTACCTGTGGCTTCGCCTGCGTAGGATTTGGTTTGTCACATTAAGGTTCATGACAGACTATTTCACACAAATAGTAACAATATTTTTTTATTAACAATTATTAAAAATATTTTTTTAATGAAAAGTATCCTATGTTACTTCTAGTACCTCCAAGAATATGTGTACAAAATTTCATGATAATCGGTTGAGTAGTTTTTGCTACTCTATGTTGTATAAGTTTGAAAATGTCCTTATAGGACGAAACTGCAGTAACGTTAGTCACAAATAAAAGTGGTAAAAAACATAGAAAGTTCAATTTATCTTTTTTTCATTATGATTTCCTACCACGTAGTAACGGCTACATCCAACAATTAATTGATTAATTAATCATCATCTTCATCTTCATCACGAACGAGTCTCTGTGATCAGCTGTGATGGCGTCATGGCAACAGAATTGCAACAGAATTCAGATTGGGGACGGAGTGAGAGAGTAATAGATAGAGAAAAAGGAATAGAAACTCGGAGAGGGAAATATAGGTATCGCACAGCTGCACGCATTTAACTTTATCGACGAATTTTTGTTATTTCGACTTACGGAAATCGTCAGATTATCTATTTTTCGTTATCTTTGAATTATTTCCTTCAAAATAAAAAAAAATTAGCTACGCTCGAGAATGTCGAATTGACGTTATTTTTTTATAACTTTGCTGCCCTCCCCTTTCTTTATGTCACTATCAAATTGTCAGATTACTGGAATATACACTTTTTAGCAGGTAATTAACTCACCCTACCTTAATCTGACGCGCTCGAGAATTTCTGATGATCCGGGTACAAGGTATATTAATCTGCCGCGCTTTAGTAAATCCCGAAATCCCCGCTTGGGCTCCCCTATTATAACACTGGCATTTATAATATTAATAGGGAAGTAGGGATATAATAGGTAACCCTGAAGACAAGATGATAAAAACTTCAAAGTCGGTGACAAAAAAAGAATGGTCAGAATGAACTAGCTATCAAAATTTGTTTCAAAGAACAT